CTCAGTCTTCAGTCAACGAACGCCCCCAGTTCCAGACAGGCCACGCCACCCACACACAAGTCATGAGACGCTTTCCGTTTTGATAAAGATTATCGTGCCACGACTTCTTTGGCGCACAGTCTGGATTCAGACTAGTGTGAAATATGAGTATAAATATAACAATAGATCATGTGGTGGTGGTGGTGGCGCAGTGGTTTAGTCGCTGTCACTGGCGTGCTTTGGATCCTATGGTTGGAAGTTCGAGCCCCGCCACCGGCGCCCAACTTTGATGGTAGGCAACTGTGCTGTCGCCCGGTTCAATACGACGCCTAGCCTATCGGGGCCTTACGTGGTTCGCCAATCCAAGTCCCGGGGGCTTAGGTTACCCTTTTTCCATGACGAAGCAGCAGGTCTTCGTGACTATGGGGTTCGCCCCGTCTGCTGTTCACCACCACAAATGTGTGTAATAAAAAAGAATGACAACAGACACATTCTATTATTTCGATCTGATAAATTTAAGTCCTTGGGGGTCCTCTTTCCGACAATAAATACTTCCGTTTCCTCCAGTGTTTCTAACCAACAAGTTACGAGATATTTTAGATACTCTAAGAAGAAAACGGTTACCATGATCTCGGGGTCCCCAGCCAAGGAACCTAACGGGACCTATGTGACCCAGTCTCCTGGTTAGGGTTTTCATACCCTCATGCCAGGTCTTCGTTTGACCACCTTTGACTTTTTTCCAACCGCTACCTGCCTCAGCAAACATCGCTCGCCGTGACAACCTATTTGGTGACATGCGTAGCACATGCCCCAACCAACGTAATCTATGGAGGTCGATCACTTGCTCCAGTGGACGACCGCGACTGCCTAAAACTCTACGCCTAACCTCAGCATTGCTGGTCCGGTTTCTCCATCACACTCCTGCAATGCGACGCAGAAAGCGGTGTTCGAACACCGTGCTGATAAACGGACTTGTGAAGAATTCGACTAGTGCCTCTGAAAAAAGAACCGTAAGATCAAGGTAAAGCCAGTTCAGTGCCCAGGTAGATGAGGCCCATGGAGGCCACTCACCGAGGAGAACAAGCGACGGGATCAGATGACGGAAGGCAACACGGATCTGAGATGCAAATAGGGTCGCCTGATTGGATTTGCTGTTCGCAATAGTTTGACTTCGCATCCAGCACTCTTGAGCTTTGCTTAAACAGATTTTGACTATGGCGATAGATAGCAGTATACCGGAGGATCCAGAAGAGTCTGATGCAGTGTGAAGTCGAGCCAAAATTCCACATTGAGAGAGTGTGTCCGCCTCACTGGTGGACGGATCGATCAGGATAACCGGGTTGCATGAATCAAATATCTGGAACGGTGAGAAGGAAGGATAGAGGACCAGTTGGAAGGAACTTGTATCTAGTGGATTCCGAATACCTATCCGGAATTTGGTAACGAACTGATACTGCATGACAAATGGAGAATAATGCATTCAACTAATGATTAGTATCGGATAAAGGGGATTGATATTGAACAACCATGTGCCATTTCAAAAAAGAGCAAAGTGGACAAAAACACACGGTCTGGTATTATTATCATTTTTCACACTCTTCTGAAGCCAGACTGTGCGCCAAACAAATCATGCTACAGTAATCTTTATCAAAAGAAAAACGTTCCATGATTGGATTGTGGCTGAATACTGCCAGGTTGCCCAGAACAAGGCAGGTGAATTTCCTTGAGGAATCCACAACCGGAGTGGTCCATCAACCCGGTTTTAACCCCTGAAGTCGGCTATTCGTCTTCTCACTTTGGTGGAAAAACCGCCACGAGAAGGCAGTGAGTAGGGTTTTCTCAGCAGAGGCTATTCGAGCCGCTTGGTCGTATGGGAGCATTTCGCGAGGTGCAAGGGAAGGGTGACCAGCCGCAACCCTAGACACCCACTCCGACCATACTGACGATTTCAGAGGCAACACGGCTCATGTGTTCGGTTATATGTGGAATTTTATTGCGAGAGGTGTATCAATTACCGTCCACCTGACGCAAGTAGATAGTTAAAATGTGGCACGAAAATCCGACTCGAAATTGTTCAAGCATCAGCATTTGGTGATGAATACCTTTAGTCTTCTGGTGCCAACACACTTAAAATTACTGGTCTGTTCAGGAAGATATGAGGATTTTCAATCGGAAAGAAACACACCTCAGACTTACACAATGCAGGATCACTAGGGATATACCGAAAAATAGGCCTCCCTTGGACCCTAATCGAAGTCTCACTTTAAATACAGCAGATGTAGTCAGTAATTAAAACTTAGAGATCGCTGTCAAAGATTGCTGTAGCAAAACTGACAGCTTTATGAAAAAATGAAACCCCAGAGGTGGACAACATAAACCCGAATAGCCTTCTATGTTTGGTCGATCGCGGATCCGAACCACTAGCCATGCTATTCAAGCGAATGCTCGACCATACAGCACTTCCATGATGATGGAAATGAAAAGTTATTTCACCTATACGCAAAAGCGGTTGTCCTGCTGACCCCGCTAACTACCGATTTGTAACACACCTTATAGTGTTATCTAAAGCTATGGGGCGAATTGTAGATTCCCTGATGGAACACTTGAAAAGATGGAAAATTCTCCTGCCAGCTCAACATGGAATCCACCTAAAGGATTTCTGTTCAACGAACTTCCTTCTTGTTCCGGATGAATGAACAAGAACAGTCGACGAAGGGGACGCGCCAGATGTGATTTATCTGGATTTCTCGAAAACATTCGATCGGGCAAACCACCAGATAGAATAACGACGTTTGAGATTTCGTAGTTAATTGGATTAAAGCATTTCTCCGACAACGAACCGTATCAGTCCGTTCTTTTATTGCACCTACTTCTGTGATGAACAGCAGGTTTGCTGTTCAGTGGTGAGAACCGGCAACCTAAGCTTCGGGAGTTTGAATGGAGAACCATCTGTGATCCCGATAGGTAAGGCGTGGTGTTGATCAGTTTCCTGCGGGGTTACACAGGGAGTGTATACTTGGTTCCCGACTTTCCTCACATGCATAAATGACCTGCCAGATGTTTTAGGGCCAAAAACAATACAGTTAACAGACAACACAGAAATCTGGAATGCAGTAATACAATTTGAGGGGTCACTAACAATGTGAGTATTGCTTATTGCACCTTATCAATGGTTTATGGAGAGCAACATTGAAATCACTGTTCATAAATACCAAGTCTTATCCATACGCCAAGGGAGTATATTCCTGTATTTCCTCCGGAATCAATTGCTGTATGCCTCAACTGAGGGGGACCTAAGCACCCTTGCTCAAGAAGACTTAGGGTGCTCAATTATTTGAGCCAAGGCTTCGTCCGCAGTTGTGCGCGTCTTTGACCAGTTTAAGTCAGCACTGATCTCACGTTTGCTACCAGTGCACATACAACCGTGCATACAGTATAGTGAACAAACCTGGAGCCCATGGCTAAAACGTGATGCTGGACCGTCCACAAAGGATTTCCACCAAGACGGTCAGGGGACTACACTATCTCACCTACTGAAAGAGACTACAATCATTGAGTTTATATCCCACTCAGTACCGCCGAATTTAAGGACACCTGTATTTCATCATTATCATTGTACAGCGAAATACGGTGAAGCGAACTTCACTGACTGCTTCCAAACTCACAATGCATACAAGGTTAGTGGTAAAATTCAGGTTGGACAGGGGTTGGAGGAAGGGAGAAGATGAGCCACTATAGTCAACACATAAAGTACGCAATTGAACTCTGCATACATACCGTTTCAAGCATTCTGACCTGATAAGAAACGACAACGAGAACGCCACTGATGCCGGTTCGCTGCCATATCCTTCAATGTCTCCAACCAACCAGTTGTGGAGTCTTTCGGACCCCAACCTGGAAGGCAAGAGATACCTACTCTACCTAATGGCTCTGTACATTTCTTCATGTCTCGTCTCCACGTCATCTGTTGACCTCCACGAGGTTTCCTCCAGCCCAGATTAGCTACAGCGAAAGAGCGGTGCGGCAGACGATGGCTGGGCATACGCAATACGTGCCCTAGCCACCGAAGCCTAGTAATCTGAATTCGGTATGCTAGCAGGTTTATACCTGACAGACTCTCAAACACACGACGGCCTACCTCCACGTTACTAACCCGTTCGCTCCATCCAACATGGGCTTAACTGCGTAAACACCGATAAGCGAAAACTTCAAGTCGACGGATATCTTCTACTCGTAAATTCAGGGTCTCACAACCATAAAGCAGGAGTGAACGAACGCTAGCACAATATACACGACCTTTCAACTTCNTGAAACGTCGCGTCTACGCCAAAGGTATTTCAGTCCTGCGTATGCTGCTCGAGCCTTGGAAATGCGGGCGGTTATCTCCTTTGCTGCACTACCGTCATTGGTCACGCAACTACCTAAGTAGGAAAAGTAATCCACCACAACTAAATCCTGGCCATTTAGTATCGGTGGGAGTAGACGAAACCCAGTCCTGCAGCGGCACTTGGCACTTTGAAGGTGCAAAGCACATACCGAATGTGGCCACTGCACTTGTTAATCTATCAAGTGCACTTTGCGCGTCCTCCATACATTCGAACAGACAGACGATATCATCGGCGTACTCCAAATCGCATAGCTTTTCTCCAGCTTTCCATTCAATACCTACGTTTTGGAGTCCCCTTAGTGCACTCTCCAGCATTTCGTCTACGACGAAATTGAACAGGAACGGCGAAAGAGGGCACCCTTGACGAACGCCGCTACTGGTGACAAACAGGCTACTTAGTTCGTTGTAGACCCTTACACGACCGGAGGAATGTGAGTATAGTGACCTCAGTAAGTTAACGCACTTCTGGGTCATTCCTTTTCGAAGAAGGCAGCCCATCAGAGCTTCGCGGTCAACTGAGTCGAAAGCTCCTTTCAGGTCCAGGAGCACTGCGGTCGTTGGCCGACGGTGAGTATGACGCAGCTCAAAGAGTTGACGCAACGTAAAAATCTGATCAATGCATCCAGGGCCAGGCCGGAATCCGGCTTGCTGTTCACGGATGTTGGTCTCTCTTAAAGGCGTCAGACGTCGAAGTATAATCGAAGCTAGCACTTTGGTGACGATCGGGATCAAACTTATCCCGCGGTGGTTTTCGAAATTGTTGAGAGATCCTTTCTTGAAAATGGGAACGATCAGTGATTCGCCCCATAATGAAGGAATGTGCTCTTGCATCCAAATGTTGTCCAGTAGCGTAGTAATAGAGGTTACGAGGTTATCACCTCCAATCTTGAAGAGAGTGGGAGGGAGCTCATCAGGTCCTGCTGCCTTTCCTCGCTTCAGAGATTGAATGCAAGACCGAACTTCTGCTTCCATTGGAGGATCGCATGACACTGCCCACGGAGCTTCAGTCGAAGATGAAGCAGCCTGGAAAGCACTAGGCCAGCTGAACTATTCGTTGAAGTATTCTGCCCAGCGATCGCGTAGTTGATCCCTATTGTGAATAGCTCGTCCCCTCTTATCGCAGACTGTTTCACTAACTGGGGTTCGCCGACCCCCCGTATTGCGTATCAGTCGGAAAAGTCTTTGACAATTCCCTGATGCAGCTGCTACTTCCATTTCACTAGCTATTATTGCCCACCAGTTCTCACGGTCCTTTTTGAGACTCTTCGTGAGCCGACGTTGTAGCTGCCGCCTCACTCTATTTTGATCCTGGCAGGTAGGGTCTTGCCGTTTTTGC